GGTGGTAAAGTTTGCAGATGATACCAAACTGTTTAGGATAGTCAAGACAGAAGCAGACTGTGAGGGACTCCAAGAAGATCTCACCAAATTGAGTGATTGGGCAACAAAATGGCAAATGAAATTTAATGTGGATAAGTGTAAAGTAATGCACATTGGGAAAAATAACCCCAACTATATCAACAGTATGATGGGGGCTAATTTGGCTATGACAAATCAGGAAAGAGATCTTGGAGTTATCGTCGTCAGATATCTGAAAACTTCCACACCGTGTGCAACGGCGGTCAAAAAGGCAAATAGGATGCTAGGAATTATTAAGAAAGGGATAGAAAATAAGACACAGAATATCTTGCTGCCCCTGTATCAAACTATGGTACGCCCACATCTTGAATACTGTGTATAGATGTGGTCCCCTCACCTCAAAAAAGATATTTTGGCCTTTGAAAGGGTTCAGAAAAGGGCAACTAAAATGATTAGGGGTTTGGAACAGGTCCCATATGAGGAGAGGTTAAAGCGACTGGGACTTTTCAGTTTAGAAAAGAGGAGACTGAGGGGGGATATGATAGAGGTATATAAAATCATGAGTGGTGTGGAGAGGGCCGATAAAGAAAAGTTATGTATTAGTTCCCTAAATAGAAGAACTAGAGGACACCAAATGAAATTAATGGGTAGCAGGTTTAAAACTAATAAAAGAAAGTTCTTCTTAACACAGCGTGTAGTCAACCTGTGGAACTCCTTGCCAGAGGAGGCTGTGGAGGCTAGGACTATAATAGAGGTTAAAGAGAAGCTAGACAAATCGCTTGATCATTGTCTTCGGTCCACCCTCTCCAGGACACCTGGTGCTGGCCACTGTTGGCACAGGATACTGGGCTAGATGGACCTTTGGTCTGACCCAGTACAGCCGTTCTTATGTTCTTATGTAAGGAGGAAGGGATGAAGAACTGAGGAGGACTCAGTCTACATTTACCTTTTGCAAAGCTCCTGAAGGTTTCCTGGTTTTATTTTACTGTGGGGGGAAAAATAATAATATAAATGTCAAGGTAAAATAACATTCCCATATCAATGGCTGTAATTATGACCCCAAAGTAGCCACTGCACATATTTCACTGTGCTCCAAAGTACTATATCATTTGGAGTTCACAGTTTAGAAAGAAATCAGTGGACACACAGAGAGCTTGAGCAGTTGTAAGTGTTCATTTATTTCATAACATAGAACTAACTAGAACCAGCCCAAACTGGCTGGGCTGACCCCTAGTGACCTAACTCAGTCACTATAACAAGATCTATATCTACAATCCCAATATACAACACAAAGCTATCCCCATCTTTGCAATGATGATTCCCATTTTTCTTTCTTTTAAAAAAATGTTTATATCTTACTGGAAAAAGGTAAGAAAAAAAGTGCAAGTCCGACACAATAAAACAGGGTGGGCAATAATTTGTGAAGGGAGGCCATTTGGGGAATTTCTGAAGTGGTCGCAGGCCACCCTGGAAGGGGTGGGCCTCGGGCAGAAGGGGCAAGGCCAGGAGACTTCACAGCCCACAGACTATGATTGGTGAAATCCTGGCTGTACCAAAGTCAATGGCAGAATTTGAGGAGGGATCTCTTAGCAGTTTGAGCATTGGCCTTCTAAACCCAGGGTTGTGAGTTCAATCCTCGAGGGGGTCATTTAGGGATCTGGGGCAAATCTGTTAGGGATGGTACTTGGTCCTGCTGTGAGGGCAGGGGACTTGACTCAATGACCTTTCAAAGTTCCTTCCAGCTCTCTGAGATGGTGTATCTCCTTATATTATATTATTCCCATTGACTTCAAAGAGGCCATCTTTAGAGATGTATTTTTTTATCCCCCACCCCACCCCCGTCACACACGCACAGTGGCCAAATCTGTCTCTTTGATGTTACTGGGGGTTTGTCTACATCAGTGGGATCAAAATCTGACCCTAGTGAAGATTCCCAGAGATCCAAAGAACTTGTTTCTTATTTAATCTCCCTGTGACAAAAGCAATGCTGATTACTAATGATGTCAGACTAATTGCCAAAGCTTTCAGTCAAAGGGTGCCTTAAAAAAGAGAACCATACAGGCGGGGTGCACTATTTTGCTACAGCTATAGACAGCTAAGAGTTCCAGGCTGCAAGTAAAAAGGTTGTGGTGTTAAACAACTGGAGAAGGCTTAATGTGTTGTTATAGAATAACTCAATGCCTTTTACACACCTGACTATCCCGGAACTAAGGCTGGTGCCTATAATATTCCTTACTGTTGTTTCCCATAATCAGCTTAGATCCCTGTGGGAGAAAGGACAACTCTGTTGCAAGATTATTACTAGTCATAAGAAGGATGAAATAATCATCTATTTACGCTCTGCCAAAGATTTGCCACTAATCAGCAGGATCTTGCATGTGTCAGCCGATACTAATTTTAAGAAAGTAGGAGAAGAAAAATGTTGGGTGTTTTTTTAATTCAAGTTGCATTCTATTTTTTTGAGAAAGTGCAGGAAATTCTGAAAACCCAGGCCTCTCTCTGGCCCAAAGGAGAAGGAAGCATTGTTCTTAGCTCAGAATATTCTTACACAGACAAAGAACCGAGAATCCATCCCACCTTACCAAGCCACTTCAGTGAGCTCCCTCGCAGCTTCCTGGAGATCATGGTTCTGTTTCATCTGATGTTCCAGGGTTAACACGGTGACACAGAAGCCTTCAGGGACGATGAACTAGGGAATTGCAGAAAGGATCCCATTAAATTCAAAATCCACTACCAGAGATCAGCCAAAGATATTCAGGCTTGGCTAGTCAGAAAAGTGTGTGCAAACATGCATGCTCAATTTGCATATATAATAACTACCATTGCATAAGCAATTTCCATAATTGTGCATGCAAGTGATGGCTGCTTAATCATTATAGCATTGCTCTCACAGTTGTGGTACTGCACTTACAAATTAGACACACAACTTTGAGCACATTTTGCAGGTACAAATTTCTGAAAATGCAGACTGGAGTTTAAGGGAAAATTACTTTAGCTACAGTATATTTTGTAAAAAAATTTCCCCAGACAATGCCATTTATTTAATATGGTACTGAGTCAGAGAACTGAAAGCAGACTTTTGAGAAGAATTTATTGTGTCCTATCAAATTTAAGTCATTTAGAGCATGAGTTTTTAAGCAAAATTCCTTACATAACTCAATGAAGAGTTCTACTTAGAAAACTAAGTACAGTCCTATGCCATGAGACAATGACTCAAAAGCACGTTCTCAAACTATCACAAAATCAGTGTTTCCTAATGTTACTTTTGTTATCTGGGAACTATCAGTAACCACATGGTTATATGTGGAAGAGATAAAGGCTATAAATGATTTCAGAGTATGAAGGAAGCTTCATCATGAAATCCTGGCCCTATTTATAGTCAAACGGAGTTAGACAACTAATTTCAATAGTCAAAATGTCACCTATGAGATTTCAAACCGTGATAACGTAGCACAACTGTCATCAGGACTGAATGTCACGCAATATTTTCCAATACAAAACACAGGACAATGCACTCTTTGCCTTCTGAAACAGCTGTAGCTGTAAGCTGTAGACCTCTTCTTTCTGGGCCTCATGAGGAGAAAGCTAGACACAAACTGCAACTCCAATAACAATACTTAAGTCTTATAATGTCTATACTACAGGACAAAGTTGAGTTAAGATACACAACTTCAGCTACATTAATTGTGTAGCTGAAGTCTAAGTACATTAACTCGACTTTTGGTGCTGTCTACACTGCAGGAAGTCGGAGGAAGAGCACTCTTCCTTTGACTTCTCTTATTCCTCATGAAAGCGGGGTTACCAGCACCAACTGGACTGCCCTTCTCACTTTGAATTAGCTGTCTTAATGAGACTGCAAATTTGAAGCCCGGAAGATCAACAGCAGCAGCTTCAATCTTCCTCTGCAGTGTAGATGTACCCATACAGTGCTTTCAATCAGCTCTCAAAGGGTATGTCTACACTGCCACCCTAGTGCCACCCTTGCAGGAGGAATAACAGTAGTTCGAATTAGGAGCTTTAATTTGAACTACCTAGTCCGTGCCGCGTGTAGCCGTGGGCAGGTAGTTTGAACTACGGGGCATTTAAAAATGGCGGCACCCGGGAACATGCAAATGAAGCCCGGGATATCTAAATTCCGGGCTTCATTTGCAAGTTCAAATGCCTACATTAGCCACCCTAGTTCGAATTAGGGTGGCAGTGTAGACATACCCATAGGGCTTTCTAAAAGAGAGCTCTATCATTATTCCCATTTTACAGATGGGAAAGCCAAGGCATAGCGTGGTGAAGTGGGATGCCCAAGGCAAGAACCCAGGTCTCCTGAGTCCCAGGCACTCAAGTCACAATCAGCTGTTTTTTGTTACGTAACCTATAATGGCTGAGTGTAAATAATTTTAAACACAAACGTTATTAATACTGTGGGATCAGAGTCAACATGTTGTATATATTGGTAAGCCAATGACTAGAAGAAAGGGAAAATCTAACTCTGTTGAAATTACATGATTAAGTAAGATGCCCGACAGACGTGAGGAATATTGATTCCTTGCAAATGTTTAAATAACAGCAAACTCTGCGTTATGGTTTTTCTTGCTTACTGATCTTTTTGTTTTTAATGGCTAAAGCCTTACTAATGAGTATTTACCACAATGGTTATTACATTAGATCAGGCTGGAAAGGCTCCCATTTTAAATATTACCCAGTCTCAAAAACCAGGTTTTGAGTTTCACCGGAAGTTGAGCTATAAATAAAAAACGTCTATGGTTCTAAAAAGCAACTGATTTTAAGAGATGTCCAACAATGAATTCTAAAGTATTAACAGATGTATAAGTATATGATAGACAATTAATGCACAACAACATATACTTAGATCATTTACTATGTAATCACTGCTCACAGGAACAAACATATTGTACTTATTTCCACCATAAAAGTAATTTACTAAATAATTGCCTTTTTGCTACTATGTGCAGGCTTTAAAATACCATTCTTTTGCCTCTGCTGATGAATTCTTATGCTAGCTATTAAGTAATCTATTCTTAAAGTTATATGGATGTATAGGGTTTAAAAATAAACTAGACTATCACAACTCGCCAAACATAATGAAAAATACATTTTCCTTATATAAAAAAGTTGCCAAAATTACTATAGTCTTTTGTACAAGGCAGAACTTAAGCCCCCCGAATGAGGCAGACAAACTTTACAAGAGAATTTCATTTCTGAGGACTTAGATAATTTGATGGGCTACAAAGCTTTTTAACTGTTCGCATAACAGGTGCGGTCAAGATTATTTTCCACCTGATGGAATGTTCATGCCCTATTTTAAAAGGAATTGATTATCTCAACTCAGTTTCTAATAGAGAGGCATACATATCAGGGTGGAGGGGAACCCCTTATTGGACCCCATCAAAAATCTCCTAGTTGGCAGTGTAAGCATCGAAATCAAAACTGAATATGCATGACGACTGCTCTACACTCTTCATCCTAGAGGTGGCAGTCTTGCCTAAACTGGTGCGAAAGCACATTGGCAGGAATTAAATAGAGGCTGCAAAGTGTATCAGTTCTGCAGGTATATGGGACTCCACTTTATAGGACTTTTTCACAGGAATGATACAAATACATAATACCACTTTTCTACTGTAGAAAGACATATTGTAACCATTCAGTGCTGTAAGCAGAATGTAGATTATTTCTAAGAGCTTTTTATATTTTTTTATATTTAGAAGTACTAGTATGACTATTTAATATTTGCACATAGCACTGTAGGTTTGAGTGCTCTGATGGGCATCCCCGTCACAGTCTCTTACTTTTTCTGGTTTTGCTTTTGGAGCAATTAAAAACAGGCTAACACATTGGGGGAGTTTACCACAAAACAATCTGTGCCCATTTTGTTATAACTTCTAGGGAGAAAGAAATCAAGGAGACGTAGCTCGAGTCCCCAGATCTGTCACATACATGCATTTATAACAACACACAGATGTCATTGCAAAACTCCACCGCCTGGGAAGGGAGACTGAAAGATGCTAGCTCCTGGGGGGGAAGCTCACCTTGTTCCCGAGCTGCTTTTGTAAGTATGTGAGCTGACCTAGCTGGGCTCCTTTGCCCCCCACGTCCCGGGGGCATTGAGAGTGCTCTTCAGTGAACGACACCACAAATTCAGAGGTGGGAGGAAGAGACGGCTCCTTCCACCTAAAGCCAGAATTCTGACTAAGTTGCCCCGCTGCATCTCTAGAAGCACAGAAACAATGCATGTTATGCCAAGCATTGGGGAAGACCAGGAGTAAGACTGACTTTGTCAGGAATGCTAGGCTAGGTTCTCAAAAAAAATATCACCTAGGGTGAGAAGTCAAGCTAGATCAATGGTTCACAACTTCCATTGTGGCCTGCAGATGAAGTTCTTTCTGAGTTACATGGGCCAAAGTGGCGAGGAAACAGAGGCAGAGATGACCCAGGGATGTTTCATTGCTTTGCTGGCCTTGTGCTGCCTCAAGAGTAACTGGTTTAAAATCTCTTTTGCAGAGTCTGGGTTTTACGTGCTGTATCTATGTGGCGTCCTTAGAGAGGTGAACTGAAATCCAGTGTGATCCTGACGCTGGAGCTTAAGGAACTGGCAAGAATCACAGAGTCCAGCCACTTGGACCTTAGACTCTCAGCTCTCAGAAGGGGAGCTAAATGGAGGCTCTGCACCCCAAGAGTGCACCTGAAGACCAAAAACCAGAGGCAATTCCTGGTCTCTGTTCAGACAGAACACACGGCAGATGGTCCCAAAACAGCAGCCTGGTGAATGTCCAGCAGGGGGCGTTTTACCAGGCTTGTGAGTTACAGTTGACCATGAACAAAAGAGTTTGTTTATATTTTGTCTGCTACTTGCAGCTGTCTGACAAATATTTTGATTGTATGAAATTCAGCCTATAGATGGCTAAAGTGATGCTTGTGAATGGATACTGTTTGTTTATTATTATTTGCATACCACGCCAGACCACCTAACTCTAGTCCAGTGTTTCTCAACCTTTTTTTATAAAGTACCCCTTTAAAAAAAAAAGTACTGTCAGTACATACAGTTTTCAAACACACACAATTTTTTTCTACCATTGCAACACATTTGTTTAAACAACTTAATCGTAAACAGGCAGGCAATGAAATTTTTGGATGTAAAAATACAAAAATAATAAAGCACTGTAAAACTTAAAACAAAAATTCAGTTTTCTCCAAATTTCAGTTGTGTTGACGTACCCCCCCCCCAGACTTCTCTCAAGTACCCCTAAAGTTACTCATACCACTGGTTGAGAAACACTGCTCTGGTCTACAGTATTGGAATTCATCTACAGATTTGACACCATTACCTGGGCTTGAACAAAGACACTAACTGGTTAGTGCACTCCAAAGCCAATTTCTCCCACCTTTACCAACTGCATTTATACAGTAAAAGCTATGTATGGGACACATCCAAACTACCTAATTAGCCTTCTACAACTGACAAGTACTTCTGCTGCTGTTTTATATATCTCTTGCTTTCTGTTATTTTCACTCCAATTCATCTGATGAAGTGGGTTTTACCCATGAAAGCTCATGATTCTAGATATTTTGGTTAGTCTCTGAGGGTATGTCTACACTACCACCCTAGTTCGAACTAGGGTGGTTAATGTAGGCAACCGAAGGTGCAAATGAAGCCCGGGATTTGAATTTCCCGGGCTTCATTTGCATCTTGCCGGGCGCCGCCATTTTTAAATCCCGGCTAGTTCGGACTCCGTGCCCGCGGCTACACGCGGCACGGACTAGGTAGTTCGGATTAGGCTTTTATTCCGAACTACCTGTACACCTCGTGGAAGCCTAATCCGAACTACCTAGTCCGTGCCGCGTGTAGCCGCGGGCACGGAGTCCGAACTAGCCGGGATTTAAAAATGGCGGCGCCCGGCAAGATGCAAATGAAGCCCGGGAAATTCAAATCCCGGGCTTCATTTGCACCTTCGGTTGCCTACATTAACCACCCTAGTTCGAACTAGGGTGGTAGTGTAGACATACCCTAAGGGTGGGTCCTTAGTTCAAAATAAGCTATGTGATTTGAACTATGCAAATTGCGTAGCTTATTTCGATGCTATTGTGAAATAGCTTATTTAGTAATTTGGCACTGACTACACAATACCAAATTTCAAAATAACTCACTATTCCGAAATTCACCTTAACACTCATGGAACAAGGGTTGCCAGGATGTCGGAATAAGCCACCCGTTATTTCAAAATCTACAGTAAAACTCCTTTGGTCCGGCATCCAATGCTCCGGCACTCCTGATGATCCTGCACCATCGGGAATCCGGAAGTGCTCCAGGTAGCCGGACCATTGGAGTTGCTCTGCTGAAACTGACCAGCAGCGGCTGAATCGGGGACGCCTGGGGCAGAGCTGGACTATCGGAAGGGGGGGCTATAAGGGATCTGGGGTGGCATCCCTCTCACCCCATCCCAGACCCCTCATACCCTCCCCCCTTCCGATAGTCTGGCATATCTGATAATCCTTCACCCCCTGGGTCCTAGAGGTGTGGATTATCAGAAGTTTACTGTATTTTGAAATAACGAGCTGCTTCAATAGATACAGAATAGCTTTTCTGGGATTTTTCAGGTATCCCAAAATAGCTCCGCAGTGTAGTCCCTCTCACCCCATCCCAGACCCCTCATACCCTCCCCCCTTCCGATAGTCTGGCATATCTGATAATCCTTCACCCCCTGGGTCCTAGAGGTGTGGATTATCAGAAGTTTACTGTATTTTGAAATAACGAGCTGCTTCAATAGATACAGAATAGCTTTTCTGGGATTTTTCAGGTATCCCAAAATAGCTCCGCAGTGTAGACATACCCTAAGGTGCCACAGGACTACCTGTTGTTTTTAAAGTTACAGACAAACACGGCTACCCCTCTGAGAATTTTTTATATGATCTCATTCATTTTCCCAGAATAAATGGCTTTCCAGCTCACAAAGCCTTTCCAGCTCACATAGCTGCACAAGCCACTGCGATGCACACATAACAGACACAAGACTACATGTACACAGAGGCGGCCTGAGGCGGGCTGCCGGCAGCTGGCGCCCCAGGCGGAATGCGCGATCAGTGCCCCCGTCTCCACAGCCCTCAATGGCGTGACGTCATCGTTGGGCGCCCCATTTACGCGGTGCCCTAGGCGACGGCCAAGTCAGCCTATACGCACGGGCTGCCCCTGCATGTACAGGTATTCATGAGAATTTTGCTTTGCACAAACATTCTTTGGAACAAAGGATGCTTGTGCAAATGTTCACAGAAAGCAAAGGGAAAGCCACGGCTGGTGACTCAGAGGCATGCCTTTTGTTCAAAAGCCCATTTGTCTGCTGCCTTCACTCAGCTCTCAGAATTAGAATAGTTTCTCTACTTCAGTATACCTGTTTCTCACCTGTAATAAAATTCAACCAAGCCCCAGCCTCGGATGGTCAGATTCAGTCGGAAATCAGCAATGCACTCATGGAATACCCCTGTCCCCGTTAGACCATTATACACCACCGGGCGAGCTTGTTTGTCAAGTGTAGCACGAATGTCAAAGAATTTGCCACCTTGGGAAGGAAAAATATAGGCAGGCTTTCTTCAACATACGATAGAGTAATTAGCCAAGATGAAACAAACAGGACTATTTTTTTTTTTTTTTTGCCATTTCATACAGTTCCCTCATCCCTAAGGCGCTTTTTTTTTAATTAATTAATGATGTATTCATTTCTAAAGCTTCTGTGGCCTTTCGCCATTTTAGGTGATTTCAAGGAGCTGGTTCCAAAGCCCAAATGGAAGCGCTGACTAATGGAGTCTGGAAACTGCAGCACTCATTTCCAAGCTAGTTAAACCTGAGTGACACAAGGATGTTCAGCACAACCGAGGATCTGAACTCCTCTCTCTGGTCCCTGAGGCCCGGGCAGGCAAAGAATGACACCGGAGCCTTTACTTAAACATACCACTGATGTCAATGAGATTGCTCCCACCGACTGGCGATTCAGAGGGGCCTGGGCTCCCAGCAGTACCCGAAGACCCGGCCCTTTAAATCACCGTCTGGATCGCTGCACTGCAAGTTCCGGGTGGGTGTGACGGGGGCTTAGGGCTTTCTGGGGAGGTCAGGGCAATGCACAGAGCACGCCACAGAGTGTGGGGAGGGGGGCTCCGGCCCACCCCTTCTTCCTGAGGCCCCGTCCCTTCAGGGACGCTTGCCCAGGGCCCGCTATGACTGTCGGCTCCTCAGCATCTGTGCTTAAAGTTAAGCACATGTGTGGGTGTATCTACGCAGCAACCAGACCCCCGCAGCTGGCCCATGCCAAGCAACTCAGGCTGATAGGGCTCGAGCTGCAGGGATGTTTCATTGCAGGTCTGAGTCTGCAGCCTGAGCTCTGAGACCCTCTCACCTTCCTAAGCCTGGAAGTCCACAGAGCAATGTAGAGCAAAGTCTATAGAGCCCTGCACCCCAAGCCCACATCGGCTGACACGGGACAGCCGCGGGGGTCTGGTTGCTGCGTGGACATCCCCGGTAAGTCTTTGCAGGAGAAAAAGACTGGGCTTTGCGAGAGGGAATCACGCACGATACAGCCAAAACAGGATACACAACATTGTCATAGGGACGTGGCGCAGGGTGTGCGACTCTTTGAAGGGACACCTGGAACTTACAGTCCAGCCTGAGGGCTGGACTCTATAAACTAGAAAAGGAAGCTTCGTGAGAGAGGAGACCAGAAACCATACTGATTGCAAGCCCCTCCCCGCAGGCCTGCGGATGGAGGGGGGCAAAAGAGGCAGTTGCTCTAGGACCCAGTGATTCAAAGGGACCAGCTGTCGTGTTGTGGAGGGAAGTGCACCAGGCCCTTTCAATGGCCACCGGAGCACCATGCAGCATGCTCCCAGCGGTTCTGAGGGCTGCCTGGGGGCGGTGGCATGACATGCCCTGGGCAGCTCTCAGGGCTGCCTGCACTCAGCCCCGCCCCTTCCACCTTCCACCTCACCCCCCCTCACAACCACGGAGCTGGCCCCCTCCATTATGCCCAGGGGCCTGGCAAGTCTGGGCCCTGTCCCCACACCACAAGCCTAACCTAGGAATGAACGAGTGGTTTCCTGGCCATGAGTCTGGCTGCTCTGAATCAAAGCCCTGACTCCTAGGGCATTTTAGAAGCACTAAACAGTACTGACTGGGCTGGTTTGGGGAGGGGACATGTTTGTTAATTTGGTTGTGGCCTCCCCCTTCTTGTATTCGGTACAGTCTCTCTGGAAAACATAGCAACCAATTAGCTTCACATGCAGAATTCCCCTTCCCTTTCACTGTCTTAGAATTCAGTGACATTATTTTCTAGACTCGAAAGCCTTTTGTTTAGTACTGAAAAAGCTGGAGACAACCTGACTTCCTTTAACCTACCTGCAGTGAAACTGACTCGGTATATGTCTCTGATCATACCGTCGTCTGCCACGTCTGCCAGTGAGGCATTGGACCAGTCAATGCCAGCCTTCTTCCCATTGGGGAAAAGAACATAACCTACAGCGAAACTGAGAGAAACAAAAAAAACAGAACGTGCCTGGTGCAGGTCACGGTTTTCAAAGCTCAATCAAAACTATGGAAATCATGGAACAGAATGCTAGCCCTTTCAGGGAGGCTACAGACCAGGCACCACCAGGTTAAGGGTATAAAATCAGGAACGGTGTGGAAAAAGTAAACAGATACAGCACAAAAAGCAGGGGTCCCACAATGCAAATAATAGGCAGCAGGTTTAATACAGACAAGACAAAATGCTTTTTCACACAATGTACAATTAACCTGTGGAACTTATTGCCGGGGGATGTTATGGAGGCCAAAAGTATAATTGGGTTCAAAAGAGAACTAGCTAAATTCATGAAGAATAGGTCCACTAAAGGCTGCTAGTCGAGATGGTCAAAGCAATCCCATATTCAGGGCAACCCTGAAGCTCTGGGTGCCAGAAGCCAACAAGGAAAGAAAGGGCTGAATCTCTCCATTATTGCTCTCTTCGTACATGCCTTCTCACAGACAGGCTTCAAGGCTAGCAGGACCACAGGTCTCACAGAATGGCCATTCTTATGAGCCTCAGGCAAGGAGAATTTCTATGCATTTTACAATAGAACTGGGGGGCTGGTGAGAAAAGGCTTTGACGAACCTGAGAAAAAATAATGTTAAGCGAAAAAGCCAGAAATCAGCAAATCCAAGGAGAGTTCTGAAGTTTGAATCTAAATATTATAAGAGGACAACTGTGCAGGAAAAAACGCCTGTTTGACTAGAAATTTTAAACTGCCTGCCTTTAAGATGTAAACTGATTCCTCAATGTAAAATGACTGGTAATGGGAATTCCTGGATTTATTTTTCCCCAATGACTCCTGATTTGTTTGTGCATGTCACTTAATCACTCCATTTCAATTTGCTCATCAGTAAAATGGTTCAAATGTATCCTGATGCATGATGTTGACCTGAGATTTTATTAATGTTATAAAGTGCTTTGAGATTTCTGATGTAAGACGCGACAGCAGTACTCTCTTGTTAGTATCTATGTTAGTATCACACAAACTCCAGGACAGATTTTAAATGCTAGTCTCCAAACTTTCACTTGAAGGTGTGCATGAAATTATGTGGGTGTCTGGAAGTTCTCAATTTGTGCCCTTAAATCAGATCTTTGTCTGAATGATCCAAACTGAGAGTGTAAATAACTGACAGTGAAAGCTGCACCCATGATTATTTGCAACCACAAATCTGTGGGGACCAAAAAGCAGGTCTGGCCATGGTCTAGAAAACCCGGCCATTCCAGAGCAGGACAAGGGAGGTATATGTTTCACAGACTGCTTGAACTTACTGTGTTGTAGTTGCTGGTATAGAAATAACAGTTAAGTGTGCTGAGGTCCCATCCTGTAAGAAAAAGAGTGGAGATGGAAAAGTATTCGGACTGCATGGAGCTATCACCTGAGTTTATGATGCGACTGATCAAAAAATTCCCATTTGCCACTTTCTTCCAGAAAGCCATGGATCTCACAAAATGCCAGATTCCAGAGAAAACGACGCTTATACAGATTTTGACTATTGCATTTTGCCAAACCTTCTTGCTAGATCAACTTAAGTACTAGACATTTTGTATTTCCCACAAAGAGCACTCATTACATGGAAATGCGGACCCTTCAAGCCAGATACATTAAGGATGCCTCTTGATGCAGCAGTGATGTTTAATGGCTTGCTGTGCTTTCAGAGAGAGGCCGTTTGGCACAGCATAACGGCATTACATGGAAGAAGCCGTGGAGACGAATGGGAGAAAGAAATCCACAGGGAGCACGGAAGAACCACACAGCCAGCAGGAGCAATGCAATGAGTGTAGGCAGTAGCAGCAGTGAGAAGTGAAAGATGACGCATTGGCAAGAGCTAGAAACTTGAACTGGAAGTGTCTGAGAACAGTGTATCGGATAGGAAAAATGCTAACTAAAGAACCAAATGCACCTTCATTCTTTGCGTACCTCCCCCTGCTTTGATCGTAGACTTTAGAGCAGTGGTGGGCAACCTGCACTCCAGGCCCACATGCGGCCCATCCAGGTTCTAAGTGTGGCCCAAGAGACATATTTATTTAACATAATTGCCCACGCCTGGGGTGGCCAGATTCTGCTGGTTTGTGTCCGTGTCGTTTTTCCCCCACCAGTATTTCTAGGGACATACACGTAAAGCAAGGGCATCTGAGGTGAGGTGCGCACAGGATTGCCCGTAAGCGCCCTGTACTCCCTCTGCATCCAATCAAAGTGATGAAGGAGGCCTCTCATCCATCCCACTCACTAGCCTGGGTTGCCCATCACCAGTGGCGGCCCGTCAATACAGGAGAACTAGGCAGTCGCCGAGGGTGCCAAGATAAACAGCCATTGAGGGCTTTGGAGGCGGGGGCGCCAATCGTGCGTTTTGCCTAGGACACCAGTTGATGGCAGCTCGTCTAGGGCCACTCCTGCCCATCACCACCCTAAGTTGTGCTCCTTTCATGCCATTGCACTGTAAATTCTAGTCCACCATCTACTGCGAACGCACACCAAAGAAGGGTATTGTCCTGGGCGGACTCTCTACCCAGTCAAACATTTACTCCTTCCTATCAAAGCAAACCCCTGGGTGGCTTTTAATCACAAGCCCAGCGGCAGAAGTCATTGTAACTTCTAGGCTATCCATACACCCCAAAACAGACCCATTGCATCATGTCTCCAAGCCCAGGGCTACCGATTCGGGCTCACGCTATGGGGCTGGAGTCTGAGCTCTGAGACTCTCGCCTGGGTTCAGAGTGTGAAAAGTCTACACTGTTATGCTAAGCTCCATGCAAGGCTGTCCTTAGATTCCTGGTGCCCTACACACCCCGAGCACCTGCACTCCCCCAATGTGGGGTGTTGGCTGCTCCATGGGGGGGATGGGGATCAGGACCGTGAGGTTGCAGGGGCAAGGCAGAACTTCTGGAGGTTGGGGGGCAAGAGCAGGACAGGGAGGCTGGCCAGAGAACAGGCCAGAGGCGAGGAGCAGCACAAACTGCAGACTAGAGGCAGAGTAAAGGGCAGCCATGCAGATGACCAGTAAGCCGTGGCAGTGTGCAGCCCACAGGGAGCCATGGGACAGGGCTGGCCGCTGGAGCTGGCACTGCCCGTGCCTTGTTTTCCTGTCCTGGCTGTAGGCTTAGGCATACATAGCATGCAGCTGCCTATAGCACAATGGACTATGGAGCAGTGCCCCAAATGTTGTGCTGCCCTACGCAGCTGCATATGCCCAGGGACGGCCCTTGCTCCATGGCATGTCATGAGTTAGCTGATCTGGGCTCTGAGACTCACGGCCAAGAGGCTGGGGAGGTGTTGAGTGAATTAGTGTTGACATACTCTCTGTGGGAATGTCTACACTGCAAGGTTAATTCGAAATAACAGCCGTTATTTCGAATTAACTTTAATAGCATCTATACATGCAAACCACTATTTTGAAATTAATTCAAAATAGCAGAGCACTTAATTCGAATTTGGTAAACCTCATTCTATGAGGAGTAACACCAAATTTAAAATAGCTATTTCGAATTAAGTGCTGTGTAGACATTTAATTCAAAAGAGGGGGCCTCCAGCCCTTGCCAGGGAGCCCTGGTGGCCACTCTGGGTGCAACCAGGAAAGCTTACTCTTCTCTCCCTCAGCCTCGGAGCCACTAAAGGGGTAGACCCTGGCCACAGTGCCTGTGCCAGCTCTAAGCCTGCCAGCCCAGAGCCAGCAGTGGCCATTGGGGCCCCTGACCCAGTTGGCCCCAAAACATAAGCCAGCAAGCCACTGGCAGCCAGCCCTCCACTGCTCTCCAGGAGCAGTCTGCCAGCTCCCAGGAGCCTGCCAGGGCCCGGAGAAGGCGGGAGCCTTCCTGGTCCAGGGTGGAGATCATGGATCTTATTCAGGTTTGGGGGGGATGCCACCAACGTCCATGATCTCTGCACTAGACAGAGGAATGCAGCTGTCTATGGTAAGATATCTGGCCCCCTCCCGGCAGCGCTTCAGGGCTGTCCCCTCTGCACCGAGGGGGCATGGGACAGGCAGGGAGCTGGGCCCTGCCAGCTGAGACCCACCGACTGCTTCAGCAACAGGCCTGCAGGGCGTGGAAGGGTCCCCCCACCCCTGAGCAAGCTGGCTTTCCCAGAAGAGTGCTGCCCATCCCTCTCTTCCCCCCTCCCCAAGGCCATCCATTTTTGTTGCTTTCCATCCTTATCATTTTAAAAAAATACACACTGATAAATGTGTGGGAAATTTTAAATTATGCCCCCCCCCCAGGTTTTGTTCAATAAACCCAGTTTCTATATTTGAACATACGTGTCTTTTATTTGACATCAGGAAGGGGGGCTAGGGAGGGGTAAGTGGAAGGACGTGAGGGAGGAATGGGGTACAAGCCCCCGATGGGGAGGACTGGGGTGGCTCTGATGGCTCCTAGGGGTGGATGCTCTCCCACAGGGCCCCCTGGATCCTGACAGCCCTCCGAAGGACCCCCCCAGATGGCAGCCTTCAGCAAGTGCAGCCGGGCTGATGGCAACGACCCCATGAGACGCATCAGCGGGCCCAGGGGCAGCTCTGGTTCCATGTGGCCGAGTGCTGTGGTGTCCCGAATGCGGGTACTCAGGGCACTCCAAGACAAGACCTCTCTGCTGTCCCTCATCGAGGTAGATAAGCAAGCAGGGAACCCTGAGAACTGTCTGTCCGGAGTGGGGGTAGGGTCCCTTTAAGCACTGAGCTCAGTTAGCCTCAGGCAGCAGCCCCACACACTAAATCCTAACCTGATGCCCTGCCAGCACTGGTTCTGGCCAGCCTTAACTTCGGTTCAGGGTCCACTCAGTGTGGACGCGCTATTTCGAACTACCAAAACGCTGTTTCGAAATAGGTTTTGTGTGTAGATGCATTAATTCAAATTAGCTTAATTCAAATTAACTATTTTGAATTAAGTCAACTCGAATTAACGCTGTAGTGTAGACGTACCCAGTAACTATAAAACAAATTGCTGCATGATAAGAATTGTAAACTAGTGACTCATTCCTTCCCTACAACAGGTCTGCACGGTGCTACCTGTTTAATCAAAGCAGCTCCTGAATTTGCTCATTCTTGCATGCAAGATTTCACAAGGCATGCAGTGATTCTGGCCAGGAAGGATTAAACCCTCTCAGTCTGTTTATTTGGGTGGAGTGTTAGCTCTTCAAATGCTGATATTTTGGAATTCCCTGAATCTATGCCAAGACAGGAAATGCCTTCTAAAAAGCCCTTGTCCGATTTCAGTGCCTCTATGGATTTATCTTGTTAATGATTCCACCAGCCTCCTTTCCGCATATTTCTTTAGCACGGCCACAAAAATGTGGCATGGGGATAGGAACTGAGCAAACAATATGGCAATATTTGCAGAGACCTTCATTTTGGAGCAGACTCAAAATGTTGCAAACCCTCAGCTGGTCTAAATCAGGAAACCTCCCAGTCCACTGATGTCAGAGGAGTAATGCCCATTTTCACGAGCTGAGAATCTAGACGGTGCTTGGTTCTGCCGTGAGGGCAGGGGACTGGACTTGATGCTCTCTCAAGGTCCCTTCCAGTTTTAGTGTTCTATGATTCTATGGCTACGTCTACACTGGCCCCTTCTTCGGAATAGCCATGCTAATTTAGAACTTTGGAATAGGGAAATGCGCGGGGGATTTAAATATCCCCCGCGGGATTTAAATAAACATGGCCACCGCTTTTTTTCCGGCTTGGGGAAAAGCCGGAAAAGAGCGTCCAGACTGGCGCGATCCTCCGGAATAAAGCCCTATTCCGGAGGATCTCTTATTCCTACTTGAAAGTGGCTATTTGAAAGTGGCTACTTGAAAGTAGGAATAAAAGATCCTCCGGAATAGGGCTTTATTCCGGAGGATCGCGCCAGTCTGGACGCTCTTTTCCGGCTTTTCCCCAAGCCGGAAAAAAAGCGGTGGCCATGTTTATTTAAATCCCGCGGGGGATATTTAAATCCCCCGTGCATTTCCCTATTCCAAAGTTCTAAATTAGCATGGCTATGCCGAAGAAGGGGCCAGTGTAGACACAGCCTATGAGTCTATCTGCCCCCAAAAGTGCTGAACTGTCACCAGCAGAGATGGGCAGTAGGTTGCAGTAATCCACGGCCAGATCAAAAGGAGATGCACAGCAAAGGAGGAATGAGAAGCTAGAAAAATACACCTGTCCCCACGTCAGGATAGTTTACAAAACCTCCTTACTATTTTGGGGAGTGGGACAGTGATGAAATTCCTGATAACAGAGCAGCTGTGAATGGCTATTGGAGCTAACAAAAGATTCAAGGTTTTGAGTGAAAAAAAAAAACATGTTTTAGAAGCAGTTTCCTTGAGAACAGGAAATGGCAAGAATGGATTTGTACCATCAATTAAAGCAGAGGTGGGGAAACTCAGGCCTGGGGGCTGGATGCAGCCCCCGGCTTGCCTGGATCTGACACACCCAAGTCTCAAGGCTCCCCTACAACACTGGGGAGCCTGCATTGGTGCTCCAGGGCCCTCGCCATCCCACCACAGGGATTTTGTGGAGCACACAAAATCTACTAGCCTGGGCCCCCCTAAGGTGTGGTGTGCAACGGGAGTGTGAGGAGTGTCTTTCTCCTGAATCTGGGGCTACTGGTCAAGTGAGGGTTTGCCTTGTTTTTTTTGTTTTGGTGGAGGTGGGGTTTTTTGTTTTTGTTTTATATTATATTAATTATTATTATTACTATCACCAACTGATTTTTCTGTGGGTCAGCAGCCCTGGACCCAAAAAAGGCTCCACCCCTGAGTGAAAGGGTCTATTCTTGCGGGTGAAAGACCAGAGGGCCATTGGTCTAATCCCTGAGGATAGCATCCTCCACATGCAATCAGAAGAATATTAAGGGAGAGAAAAAAAACCCAAATTCTACCAGTACACTTTGTAGAATAATGTGGAAATCCGTGGAATCTTTTTTGCCCTCACAATTCTGCGACCTACGAGGCTTCATCATCGGTACAAGGCCAGGTCATATTATCGAAACTCGGTCCCTGAGGTGGGGTAGTACACCCCAGCTCCATGTCCCACCTCTATTGTATCGCCCCCAGAGGTTGGGGATGCAGCATATGTGCTTGTCCAAAAGTATCGGAACACCCCAGTGCACACCTTGGAAATGAAATATCACGAGAACCCTGGGCGGATACAAAAATGTGGAGCCATATCCGATGCACGTCCAATAGGCTCAACTCCTCATCCAACCGGCAATCCATGATCCGGATTTTACTTGTATCCACACAATAAATCTGGAGGCGAGCAGAGGAGGGAGCACAGATAAGTAAGGAAGGGGCAGTGTCATGCAGGGAAGAGAGAGGGAGGAATCAGGAGGGCTGGGCGGGGCTGGTACTCAGTCCCTCCTGAAGGGAGATTTAGGACAAAGCTTTTTGCATCCTTTCCCTGAGAGAAGTGCAGGGGCCTGCCTGGGAGCCCCGTGCCCGACACAGGGAAGGGAAAGCCCTGCATGAATAGCCACAGAAGCAGACATCTGTGGATATGCAGAGCTCTAAATATCACCTTTAGAACTTAGGGGGGACTCTCTACCACAGCCTTGGAATCCCCATAGGTGAACTTTGCAAGGTCAGTGTGACAGGGCATCCCTATGCCTGCCCATCCCTACCTGCAGGGCCAACCCGCTGAGTTTGTGGCCAGCCACGTATAAATTAGTGCAGTGCCTGAATTTGCTCCTAAGAATGGGGCATTCCCTTGTCAGACCCAAGGAGCTTAAGAATAGCTGGACGGGAGGCGGAAGACATTCTGTGCCAAGCACCAGTCGGACAGACCGCAGGGAGCCGCTGTTTCAGAGAACGACAAAAGCCCACCCACACACTAGCAACTTGCAGAATGTGTGGAGGCAAATTCCTTCATGCCTCTATCTCAAGTTAATCATTTACCATTAATCTTGGTACTATAAACACATATCTCAGCTATCCGGAATGAGGTCCCCGTCCCACAAGCTTCTGCTACTGAGTGCTAGCCCAGCAGGTGCTAATGAGAGGTTTGGCAATGAGACAACTTGCTAAAAGGCAGAGTCTACAGGTGCGGTGTTAGGGTATTGACTTTCCTCCTAGGATACTGCTTCTGGATGTTCAGACATAGCCTACAAACGCAAGCGAAGTGTGTATTGCATCTTGAGAGTGTTGAAAGGCTCAAGACCTACCTCACAATGCATCAAAATCATGACATAGCGGTAAATCTCAGCCCAGTTTCGAATGCCTGGTGGAAAAATTGAGAATACGGGCTTGAAATTCCCCTTTACGGAGCACTTTAAATACAAGCATTTATATAAAGGTATCTGGCATCCTTATCTTTAGCCAGAGAAATGCTCTACCCGGCAATCACGTGTCAAGGTTTTAAAAATGTCTGTAGGTAAAATTATCAATTAAACTGTTCCTGTTAAGGGGAAAGGGTTTAATTTTAGACCTAGTGGCTAGTGGATTAATATCCCCCTCTAACCTTCTTGCTCAAAGCCCCAAATTACAAGCCAGGCCAGGGCCATCCTTAGGATTTATGGTGTCCTACACAGTACAGGTTGCACCCTATAAACTGGGACTCTCTGGTTTGGTGACATCCGTGGTCTGGCAGATGCATCCATAGTCCAGGTGCACTGAGAGGTGGGGGGGAGGGGCAGGGCGGAGCTCAGCGTGATGCAGGGGGTGGGGTGGGAGCGCAGCCCAATGTGGGGTGGAGAGCCCAGTGCACATCTCAGCCAGGCTGCGGGGGAGGAGGATGGGAGCCGGTGAATAGCTCAGCCAGAGGTTGTGAGCTGGGAAGTCTGTTGCTTGGTCCAGCGGGGCTGCCAGGTAGCCTGATGGTGCAGCAGGGTGGGGCTGATGCCAGCAGCAAGGGGACCAGAAATTACCTCCATTACCGGCAAAATCCTCCATCTGGGACCAGTCAGGTCCCAAGGGTGCTGGGCCAGGGAGATCCAACCTGTACTATTAAACTGGCACCCCTTTGCCCAATGACAGCTGGGGGTGTGTGATTTTTTTAGAGGTGTGATTTTGTAATCTTCAGCAATTCCCTTAAAAATATTTCTAAAGCAAATTTGAAACGAAGGTCCTGTCGCCCACACAGTAAATTCAAAAACTGACAGTTTATGCCTGGGGTCACATAAAAGTCATAGGTGGGTCCTGCAGCTTAGTGGGTCCTGCAGCTAAGTTTCCATCCCTGCTGTACCCAGCTTTGCAAAGTGTGGGGCGCTGCAAGCCCAAATCGCAGCTGGGCTTCATCAGTCCTAACCTGTGCCTTAAGCTGGGAAATTACTAAGCAGTAAACAAGTTTGACCTCGGTCTCAGCTCATAATAGTGATAAACATGGTGCTGAGCCAGGTATGTGCACACCCGGTAAACAACTGTGGTATAACTAGTGTAGGAAGCCTCAGGCCCATTGAGTCTCAACAGGGACCTAGACCTTGAAGGGTGCCCTGGATCCCCCTAGCTGGAGCCACATCCACTGTGGCCGGGTGTGAGGTAACCGTATCGAGACTCCCCGCAAACCTGAAAGGGTGTGAGCATTTCCAAGTGCCTGTTACTTTTATATGCATGGCTTTGCCTGGTTGGGCCATGGCTCTGTGAACTGACACCTGGGGTCAGCAAAGGCCTGTTAAATGGCTTCATTACCATGTGAATGGCTCCTTCCCAGGTTTCATGTTCTGCCAATAGGTCTGGCAGGTTTTGTCACTTTTTAGTTAGCTAGATCCTCTCCTGAGGAAAAAAAGTCACAGAACAGGGATAGGAAGACGCAGATGGGTGGACATTAAGACCCAGCAGTGCCCCAAATTTTCAGGTGCCCTATGCAGCTGCATATTTTGCATATGGGTAAGGATGGCCCGGAGCAGGGCTATATGGCTGTAAGTATCTGTCTGTCCAGTGCAGCTCACAGGATAGATCCCAGGGTAGTGCCTTGACCCCCTCAGGATAGACTCTTCTTTGCTGTAACTAGGAAAGCTCTGGAGAACTAATTCAAATATTTCACCTATGTTAGTAAAAATACACAAGCCAGCATAGCTCCTTGCTCTGGCACATGGAGGTTCTGGACTGACCTAACCAAATCCTGGGGATAGGTCTGCAACCGGGTTTCCATGGATCCTAAACCACTCTCACCTCCCCTTTGTGAAGGAACCTTGGAGGCTAATGCCACCTCGAGGAAACAGGTGACCCCACTGAGGTGGAGGGAGATAGGAAGGCCTGTGAATCAGCAGGGCTCCGAGTGGGCTCTCCACAAACAACACCTGAGTAGGGGGAGGTTGTAGGGCCTTATATGTACCCCACTCATGGCCCCTCCACTCCATGAGCACACACAGAGCAAGGGGCTGGGAGGGAATCTTCAGCCTGATTAGGCCCCTTAGCAGCGCACTAACACCATTTCAGAGCTGTCAGCTGGTTCTGACTGTGGAGTTGTACAAAGAAGGCATCTCAGTCTCTCAGACTGTCTCTCAGCCCTATGGGCTGTGAAGAGGGATGACGATTTAGGCTTGTCCTCTGCTAGAGGAAAACAGCACCAGACAACGTGTTCTTCCTGAATGAGTTTTGTTTGGTATTTAAAGTGAGAAAACATTAATAAGCTGCTAATGGAAAGACTCTGATGGTTGATTATCATAATTCAGCAGCAAAACGTTTTTTGTTAAACAATGTTAGATCTAATTACGGAACAGATCATTTTACAAGTCACACATTGCAAGTGATTATTCTGCAATAATTAAACACCAAAGCGATAACTTCTAGGTGACTACGTCATTGAATCGTTGGGAATATTGTTACCGTAAGAGTGGCTCCGAACACCTCTCAGAAGGATCTCTTTCTTCTCATGGCCTTCAATTTCAATCTCTCCTACAGATTGACCCCATTGTTCATAACGAGATTGTTGCTCCCCATCTCTGGAAAAAGCAGAAGGGGGGAATAAGATCATGCAGCTAAAAAACAAGGCTTCTTATTCAAACACACTCCCCAAACTCCAGTCAGAAAAAGGTTGATTCTGTTATGAAAGATACAACGATTTAAGAACATCTGGAGCACAGCTGAGCCATTGGCCTGCAATCGGTCAGACATATTTTGAATTTTAAGAATATTGCTATGAACTGTTTAGCCTAAGATGGTTATAAAAAAGACATCCTGATACTATAATAAGTGCTGACTCTCCTAAAATAAACTGTTTTTCCTACAAAAGCTACAGTTCGGTCGTTGCCACTTCAAAGTCAGCATGTGTCAAGAGTGATCCCTGTTTTCCCTGTACAGTAAAACTCCAATTGTTCGGCATCCAGTTGTCCAGCACTCCCAATAGTTCAGCAGCAACTGGGACCTGGAAGTGCTCCCGTCAGCTGCTCTCATGGCCGGGCCACTGTGAGCCGCATGTGTGCTCCCAGCCCGTGTTGTTCCGCTCACGGTTCCCAGTGCACACAGCATCCAGCCTGTACTTGCTAGCAGCCGGCCGCTGAACACAGGCAGCTGCCTTGGGACCCGGACATAAGGTTGGGGGAGAAGGGAACTGGGTTATAGCAGGGAGGGGAGAAGTTTGGCTCTGGCAAAGGGGAGGAGAGGGAAGGGGAGGGAAGAGGGATTGGGTTGGGAGTATGCCCCCTTATAGTACCTCCTGGTACTCCGGCATATCCGATAATCTGGCACCACCTAGGTCCCAAAGGTGCCGGATTATCGGGAGTCTACTGTATTTAGAATAAGAGATACAATTTTCTTAGGCCTATTCTTCTCTACCTTATCAAGTATACCATGACTTCACTACACATTTTTTGAGGCGTACAGGATCTTTCAAAAAAGACTTTTCTTTTCGAAAGAACCACATCTAGACCACAGTTTCACTTTTGAAATAGCGTTTTTCGAAAGAATGCCATGACAAGATTATGCAAATGAAGCACAGAAAATTCAAATCCCAGCTTCATTTACAATTTCAATGTGTCTAATTTACATCCCTCTTTCAAAAGAGGGATGTAGTTTAGATGTACCCTATGACAGATTAATCTACATATCTACAATATATAACAATAATACTTAGGCTGATAATAATAATACCACAAGTTAATAGTACCTACACCTAGAATTTAAATGATTGATACCAAAATTATTAGGGGTTTCCACAAAATTCTTTTGAGTTTAAAAGGGTTCCGTGGCCAAATAAAATTGTGAAACACTGATGTACAGATTTAAATTACATTATTCTTATAAAATAATAAAAAATACACACAAACCTCCAGAAGAAAACTTACACAGATGTTGGCTGCATCGATGAATTGGTCTGCAGCAAACAATGGCTGGTAATTCTCACTGCGCTAGTAAAGCAAAGATTACCATCAACCCCAGAAGAGTTAAAACTGTTCCTCACTTTTGGACTCTTTTGAAGAACTCTGCACTCCACTCTTCCAAAGCAAAGGCCTCTGCAAACGCTTTTGGGTGGCTGTCAAGCTGAAAGTCGAATACATCTGAGAAGGAAGTCCAGCTACAGACGGAGAGAAAGAAAAATCTCATCTGTTTTCGGTTTGGATTGAGCCAAGCCCTGCAATCATGACTGAGACAGAACTTCAGTTTGTCTGCAGGATTTGTGCCATGCTTGGAACCTTCTAATTTTACAATATGCCTAGATATTATAGTTCTCTGGGAACAATAGAAAAGCCAGGATACAAAAGTGCAATTATGGATTGATTGGATTAGTGTGGGCATGGGCAGCTGATATGCTAGGCAGGGGAAGGCATTGCCTTCCCAAACTGCCAGCCTGGCCCCGCCTACACTCCACTCCCAGAATGCCTACTGTAGATCTTGTGTTGCTGCCCCAGAATGCTCCTGTGCTCAGGGGCTGTGGAGGTTGTGGCCAGATGCCCCCCATTCTCCCTGTACTCTGGGGCCAGGGAGGCTTGGGGGCACACCTCTTCCCTCCCTGTGCTCCAAGGCTGGGGAGGGCGGGCAGCATGTTATCCACCCTCCCTGTAATGGGGTGTGTGGTCTGGGCAGATGAGGCAGGGCTGGGGGTGGGGTTGGGGACTTGCCTCCCTCAGCCCTACCTTCACCAACCACCCATGGCAGTGGGGATAGCGAAAGAGCCTAATCTGTCATACCGTTGCCTCACTTTCTCTCATTGGGTATGTCTAGACTACACCTCTCTGTAGACAGGGTAGACTGCCGTTTTTTCCCCAAAAAAGCTCTGTTTAGAAAAAAGTGGCAGCCATGTTTATGCAAATGAAGCACGGGATATTTCAATTTGCATTTTCAATGTGCCTAATCTACATCTCCCTGTCGACAGAGAGGTGTAGTCTAGACATACCCATTGTGATCTCTTGTAACTTACACACTCCACACTGCATCAGAAATGTCACGTACATTTCTCAGCAGAATAGTAATTGGATAGAGAGTGAGGAGCCAACCCCTGTAGCTTAGGAAGAATAGGGAACCACCAATCAAACCCAGGCCGACTCTACACTACAAAAATCCAGGATGGTCTGGGGTAAGAAGACACACAGTCCCCGGCTGACATGTCCGTGCTGGCAAAAACCCACAAAGAAGACACCGTTATATCTGGGTCCAGTTGCTATGCTGTTGCCACTTCCCAGCAACCTATCCGAGCAGGCAGACAGTTCGCTAGAGAGTTGGCTCTGTGCATTATTTGCATGCACTTATGACCAACGTACTCCGGAGAACAAAGCTCTTCAGTGGTTCAGAAAATATAATCATAACTAACTGAAAAAAAATCTAAATATGACTTGAGATTATTTTTAGTCATGATTTTTCCCAGTGAACCGATGGCTAAAGGGAGATAGAAAGCAGGAGGGGTGTTTCCGGGACAGACACATACTTCTAATGCTAGACTAAAACATCGCCTCCCCTCCCCCACTTTTGAGCCTTGCTATCATGCCGACATTGGAGTTGTTTCTCATACAGCCCATCACCGAGCTGCTCGGTTGAATTACTTGTATACAGGGTGAAAGTAACTGAAATGTCTTACGTGTGGTGGTTTCCTACCTGTAAGAATTGTAAGTGTGGGATGGAGTGCTGGGGGGAGGGAACTCTGGAGGTTTGGGTTGGTTTCAGGGCAGAGGGTGGAGATATGGGGGGAGGAGGAGTCAGGGAAGGGGCTTGGAGATGTGTGGGGCTCAGGGCAGTGGCTTGGAAGTGCTGGGGACTCAGGGAAGGAGGTTGGGAGTTCTTGGGGATACAGGAGTTAGAGCAGGGGTCTGTAGGTGTGTAGGAGGTTCAGGATGGGGGAAGGGAGTTTGTGGGGGTGCAGGAGTTAGGGCAGAGGCTTGAGCATGTGGGGGACTCACAGCAGGGGGATGGGCATTTATGGGGTGCAGGAGTCAGAGTTGGGGTGTAGAGAAGGGCTCAGGGCAGAGGATCGGGTTGTGTGGGGAGGTACAGGAAGAGAGGGTCAGGGCAGAGGGCTAGGGTGTGTGTGAAGGGGTGCAATACATTATTTTAGTAATTTAACGGGGAATTTATTGTACAGACAGGAGAAAATTCACGCTGAGCTGAAGGACAACACAAGATCTATGCACCGTGTAAGCAGACTTCGAATAGCATCTGGTCTAGAACTTGTTTATACTCTTACAAAATAAATGGATCCATCAAACTTCAGTGCTCTTACTGGAAAGAGAATTTAACGTGGACAAGTTCGCCCTCCTCTTCGTTCCATTGATGCCGATACGGTCCCTTTCTAGAAGATAAATCAGCAGCATTTACCACTATTCCTTACATTTGTTTTTCACTTTTCATTTACTGGACTGTTGTGTGCTTTTATATTTCAATATTTAATTAAAGTCTAATCAACAAGAAAGCAGCAATGGAGAAGGAGAAAGGGCTTTGTTAAAATCATCTGATTCTGTACCTGGGCAGAGCAGATAAACCAGAAAAATCTAAAGAGGAGGGTTGAAGCTACTAAACATGCTTTACAGCTTCTGTAAGGCAGCATAAGTAGCCAGCTTTTATAGGCTGGCATTTCTGCAAGTCCTATCTTCATTGTGAGAGCTGACCCAAACTGATCTTCTGAAGGGTGCAGAATTGTTGTATCTAGATGCTACATGATATTCTCAGGAGTCTTGGTTAAATGATAACACAGAGCCAAAATATGTGGCAGGTGTTATCACTTGTAATAAAATTTTCCAAGAGCCTCTAAGGGTGCGTCTACACAGCAGGGCTTAACTCGAAATAAGCTACGCAAATTGAGCTACATTAATTAACTTATTACGAAATAGCTTATTTCTAAATTGAGAACTACATTAATTAGCTTATTTCGAAATAGCTTATTTCTAAATTCGGAGCGTCTACATAGGACTTATTTCAAAATAGAGCACTCTTCCTCCAACTTCCCTTACTCCTCGTACAATGGGGGGATACAGGAGTTGGAGTAAGAAGTCCTCCAGCTTGACAGTATTTCGACATTATTTTGAAATAACTGCCTGCTGTGTAGACTAAGTTATTTAAAAATAACACTAATTATTTTGAAATAATGTTGCCGTGTAGACATGCCCTCAGCAACTTAGGAGGTTTAGCTCCATTTTCAAGTGTTTTGATTTAGTGCATGAAAGTCAGATTCCTAGGCCACCTCCTCAAAGGTGTTTAGGGACCTCAAGATGCAAAGAGGCAACTAACGTGCTCAAGTGCTTTTGTAAATTCCAGTAGGGGGTCTACATCCTGAGGCACCTAAACATGTGAAAATCTGGCTCCAAGGGCCTATGCCTTGATGTAGTCCTCCTAAGCCACTTACACACTTCGAACATTTCAGCCAAAATCTCAAAACCTGTTATGTTTTAGCTACAGATTTCCCATCTGAAACAGACTCTCAAGAGAGCAAGTCATCTGTCAACAGAGGACTGATTATGGCTACTAGAAGGCTCTCCCCCAGACCCGATTTTTTTTTCCTGGCTAGGCAGAAATGTTTGGATGTGGACAAGATGAGAGGGATTTCAGTCCTTGTTGTTCCTGAAATTTTTATTGTCAACACTATATATTGTAGATCACAAACTCTACTCGTATATCAACAGCAGAATTGGTTAAAGGTGGTGGTGGAAGAATACACCGCTAGATTTATTAACTAATAGAGAATTAGTAATATCTTCCCAAGTACTGGTTAAAATGCTTGTGCTGTTTGTATTGAAGGTAAACATTTGTACACTAAGCTAGTGTGTGGCATGACAGTGTCTTTGAATAGGACCTAAAGGTGGTAATAGGAAATGGAATTCACTGTTTCAAACTCTGTGTTGTGCTTTCTGAATTATCCTAATCAGACTGCATTCTAGTCCGGTGTTTCTCAACCTGTAATACGAGCACCCTGAGGGGTACTTGAGAGAAGTTTGGGTGGCACATCAACACAACTGAAATTTGGAGAAAACTATTTTTTGTTTTAAGTTTTACGGTGTTTATTATTATTTTTTTATACTTTTTACACCCAAAAATGTCATCACCCGCCCAGCTACGATAAAGTTGTTTAAACAGATGTGTTGCAATGGTAGAAAAAAATGTTGTGTCTGAAAACTGTAGGTACTGGGGGTACTTCGAAGTTTTTTTAAAGCGGTACTTTAAAAAAAGGTTGAGAAACACTGCTGTAGCCCATGTTTCAGCAGAGGTTCTCTGAGGCTCAGGGAAAAGGCTATAGTTAATGGGAAACAAGGCTTGTAATTGCATAATTAACTCTGTATAACTGTTCTAACTAAATAGGTCCTGTTGTGCAGGGCACTCGCTAGCCACATAAGTAACAAATCTAAATAGATTAAATCATGACTGGTGTAGAGAAAGTGAATAAGGAAGTGTTATTTAGTTCTTCTCAGAACACAAGAACTTTTGGGGTCACCAAATGAAACTAATAAGCAGCGGTTTTAAAACAAACAAAAGGAAGGTTTTCTTCACACTATGCACAGTCAACCTCTGGAATTCCTTGCCAAAGGATGTTGGAAAAGCCAAGGCTATGAAAGGGTTCAAAAATGAACTAGATAAATTCATTGAGGATAGGTCCAACAATGACTATTAGCTAGAATGGGTAGGAATGGTGTCCCTACCTTCTGTTTGCCAAAAGCTAGGAATGGGTAACAGGGGATGGATCACTTGATGGTTACCTGTTCTGTTCAGTCCTTCTTGTGCACCTGGCATTGGCCACTGTCAAAAGACAGGCTACTGGGCTAGATGGACCTTTGGTCTGACCCAGTATGGCCATTCTGTGTTCTTGTAATAAAAAGGAGGTACAAAAGAGGCATCTTCATTCCCATTTTACAGATGGGAACGGAGGCAGAAAGATTAAATGGCTTTTCCAAGGAGAAACAGCAAGTCTCTGCCAGATCTAAGTATTGACCCAGTATCCCTGAGTCAGAATCCAGTGTCTTAGCAACCATCTTCCCCCCGACGTAACGTGGTAATACCTGAGTAGTCCATTGAATTTTATTTTCCACCGTCTGTGTGGCTCTAAGCATTCAATCATCAGACCTCCGCCACGCCAGCATTTTTCAGACTCATCACTCACCATCATGTCTGGATGCACTGGGTGCTAAGAAGACAATTCAATAAAACATTCATTGAAATGTGGAGATAAGGCGGAGGTGGGGTCGTGTTTTATTATGGCAGACACACTGACAGCAATAGCTTTTTGATTCTGCATAGTTCACAGAGGATAACACTGCACATAAAACACCTGAGTTGATGAACATGAAGTAATTACGGCAGACAGCACCAAACAGCAAATGGAATGAAACTGTAAATTACTGCTCTAGGACCTCATGATGTCAGCACTGTCAAGAATAACCATTATTACCACATGTTCTTATAGTTAGAGCCCTGCATATCCGTGGATATCCTCACCTGGGAACGGATAGTGGAATAGATACCTGTTCAGGGCTCTCTCTACTCCACCAAGTGAAGGGGAGGATGGCCAGGCAGGCCCCTGCACTGCCGGCAGAAAAAGGACACAAGAAACTGCATCCTAAATCTCCCAGCAGGAGGGGCCGAGTACCTGTCCTGCCTGGTTTCCCTCCTTCTCCCCACCTGGTAAGCACTAACCTGTGGAGCCCCGGAGTGCTGCCTGCCTCTTTCTTGCCGGACTTGGCTCATCTGTGCTCCCTCCTCTCCAGATTTATTGTGCAGATACACGTAAAATCCAGATCATGGATTACGAATTGGATGAGGAGTGGAGCCTGGCTGATGCAGATTGGATGCGGATCCACATTTTTGTATCCGTGCAGAGCTCTACTTATGATTTGTCTACACAGGGAAATTGACCCATGTGATTATAGTAGGATAAAACCACTTTTATTCCACCGCCCATCCATCGTTATTCCTATCATCTTGTCGGTCAATATTGCTATGTAGACTTCAGTGGGACTGCTCACAGTTGTCAACTGAATGGGGAAAATCGTGGCCACATAGAAGTCAATGGCAAAATAATAATACCTAGCTTCTATATGCCGCTTTTTATCACTAGCTCTCAAAGAAGGTTACAAAAAATTTCTATTGATGTCAATGAAGAGATGATTTCACACTATATTTTGCACAACTTTTAAAATATAAACTGGATTTATATTCCTAGTGTTGGGGTTCCACCTCAATGATACATCCCTGATAGTCAACAAACATCACTTTGGAATATTATTCCCTGCCACCTATTTTCCTCTCACCCTCCACTTACTTCAAACTCTCCAATTCCATCCACTCGGAGGAAGAGCCACATTTCACATAGGCCATTTGGACGCCTTCCGAGGCGAGTGATCACAAAAGTCTTGTCGGTTTCTGTGAACCCAGTGAGGTAAACTGAATCCAGGGCCTTCGGAAAGGGAAACAAATAAACAAATCACAACAATAAATGCCGTAGTGTTGAGAGGACACAGAACGAATGGGAAGTGAGATGTGTGTCAAAAATCATCAGGCCAGCTACGTTTCCTCCTTATTCAAAGAGCATAGAAGGCTCTTTCTTCCTAACAAATCATCAGGCCAGCTACGTTTCCTCCTTATTCAAAGAGTGTGGAAGGCTCTTTCTTCCTAACGTGAATCCTTTGGGGTATGTCTGCACTAGCCCCCTAGTTCGAACTAGGGTGGCTAATGTAGGCATTCGAACTTGCAAATGAAGCCCGGGATTTAAATATCCCGGGCTTCATTTGCAAGTTCGAATGCCTACATTAGCCACCCTAGTTCGAACTAGGGTGGCTAATGTAGGCATTCGAACTTGCAAATGAAGCCCGGGATTTAAATATCCCGGGCTTCATTTGCAAGTTCGAATGCCTACATTAGCCACCCTAGTTCGAACTAGGGTGGCTAATGTAGGCATTCGAACTTGCAAATGAAGCCCGGGATTTAAATATCCCGGGCTTCATTTGCAAGTTCGAATGCCTACATTAGCCACCCTAGTTCGAACTAGGGTGGCAGTGTAGATATACCCTTGAAGAATGACTCCGGTGGACTTGAGACAGAATGTTTTTAGTAAACACCTGCAATCCCCATGCCTCCAGTCCCTTCCAACCAAGCATCTCAAAGCATTTTGCAAATAGCAATCTATTATATATTTTAGAAATGTGCATCTATCTGCCCATCTGTCTGTGAGTCCTTTTGTTCCAGAACTCCTAAATGGTAAAATGGTATGCAGCTTCCTATTATCATAAATGAAAGCAAGGTCAGGGTTTGGTTTGCCCTGGAGTAGAGAGCATGTGGGAACCTCAACACACCTGCTCTCCCTTCCAGGGACATTAGAGGAAAAGGACAACATGGAGTAGTGTTACCTACCAGCCCTGTGCTCTTGGGGAACTAGGGAGTGACACTCGTGGAAAACCACCCCGCTCCCCCAGGCCTCTACTAGAATCAGAGACAAAGCAGTGAAAAGGCCGGGGAAGACACACCTAAATGGCTTCAGACAAGGGTGACAGAATTAAGGAAACACCCCAGCCTCATCTGCATTGAAGATAGAACAGAGAGTCATCTCCATTAGCAGACAGAATGGAGACCAGTTCTTCCAAAGCAGGAACAGCACTGCACTATGGGATACCGAAAGCAGAGAAGCACTGCCTGATGGGAAATCCCTGCTCCAGATGCTAATGAACCCAGGCCTGCTCACACCCAAATTAGTCATTTTCAGACCATTTCTAGTAATGGATCCTATTGACATCCAAAATACTGCCTAGTTGCATTGTGAGCTTCTTCAAGGAACACCACCCATAACCAGCTGTGATCAGACTCTATTGTCTCACCTCTGTTTACCCATTAACAAATCCAGTGTCCTCCTCAAACTATTGTCCTATCCCTATCAAAACTCCTACCCTTGCCCAAGAAAAACTGGATTTAAACCGCATCAGTTCTGTTATGTCGTGGGGAGTTTCACAGCATAGGAAGAAATCAGTGGAAAGGCAGAGAGCTGAAGTAGGTGCAAGTGTCCATTTTATTGCATAGCACAGAACTCAAACAAGCCCAGACTAGCTGGGCTGACCCCAGTGACCAACTCAGTTACCATAACAACAAGATCTATATCTACAACCCAATATACAACAAGTTCCATTGAGACTTCTTCATCTCCCGTCTGATCATGCTGGGGGCTCTGCTCTGCTTGTTTCCTGCCCTCTGGACCCCCAGCTCCCATCACCATCTGGGAACCCCATCAGTGCAAGCTCCATAGAGTGGTGAGGTCTCTCTCCCTCTTCCTCCCCCTCTTCCCCACTAACATAGCCTCCTGACTCTTCCCTGTGTAAACTGTTATATGGTTACCTAACATTTGTAATCAGTTTCAATTGAGATTTAATATTGTGACAGTTTTGTGTGTTTGGCTATATATTCACTACCCAGAAATAAATAACTTGCATTGTTAAGCTGGTTGCTTCTCTCTTTCTTTCTCTTTTGCTCACTCTTCCTCAAGGGGTGTTGTTTTGGCTTCCCCATTCGCTCTGCAACAAAGCTTCTTGTACCCAAGCTAAAGATCCCTGGAGTGCCCAAAATCCTGTGGGGTTTGCTCATCGTGTGGTTTACCAGTGAATGACTGTGGGGTGAAAGTGGGGATAGGGGGTGCTGAACCTGGGGGCTTATGAGGATGGCAGCTTAAAGTGCTGTTTAATCCAGCCCACTGAGTCCAAAGGCACACGAGGGTGTAGTGTGGCATTGCTGTTAAACCCAGCCTGCTCAGTCCAGGGACATATGAGGGCTCAGCTTGTGAGTGCTGAGTACCCAGTCCTCTCAGACGTGCTCTGTTAGCGGGTGTGAGTGTCTGTGTGTGTTGCTAAGGTGGGAGGAACCCCATCTTGAGGAACCTAGTTCCTGCAGGAGAGCTCCAGTGGGAGGCAGCAGGGAGAATTCAGCTCCATATGAGAGTACAAGTAAGCACAAGCAGCACACTGATAACCTCCCCCCAATCCCATAACGCTAATAAATGAGCATACCCCAAAGTATTGGGCAAATCTGGTAACAGTAGGGAACATGTGAGAATCCCGATATGCCCACTCCCCCTTCCAGGTTTTGGGTATGATGCTGCTCTTTGGGAAAGGGGAAAAGCCCCCTTCCCCCGCCTCCTTGAATCCACAGTGGAGGGGAAGGTGACAAAGTTTCCCCCTCCTCTTTCTCTGGGCAGTAACAATGGGTGTTGACTCACAGGCAGTTTCATCAGGGGAATGATATAGTGTTCCAAATTGACTGGGGCCCTCATGGGAAGTGGGCCCATTGAGGGAAGCTTAAGCATGTAGGAGGAACCATCCCGGTTCCATCCCATCTCTCTACAATAACCCGGTGCTTACAGCTCAATCCCCTTTAGTTTAACCCTTTAGTGGCATTCAATGACAGCTCAGTCCGCTTTAGTTTAACCCTATAGTGGACTGTTAATTCCTCCTTTAATAAATCCATATGAATTTAACCCTGGGGTGGTCTTCAGTGAAATCTGGGGTAACAGTTGCACCAGGAGATGTGCCTAGAATCAAACTGTTTTCCATAACATGGAAAGGGAGGGGTCTGGTAGAAGTGACAGTAATGCTCCAGAATGACCACAACAAACAGCAAGCATGGGGGACAGTTATACCGCAGAGTGTACACAGGGGGGTGGCCACACCAGTAAGAGAGAGCTGGCTGGGGCCCAATCTCTCCATGTTGCAGGTCACCAGCTGGAGTAAGTGGCCCTCCACCCTAAAGCCTCAAGCCAAACCACTCCACCCTGGCCCTCAGCCCCAGTGTTGAACTGCAAGGGAGCCCCACCAGCCATGCCCCTGCCACTGTGGTAGCAGCCACAATCCAGGGCTGAGCAAGGCAGCTTCTGCTGCTACAGCCCATCCCTCACCCCCTGGGAAGAGATGCCAGCAAAGCAGCACATCCTCCTTCTCCCCCAGTAGGAGCTGCCAGCCCCACGGAAGAAGATACTGGCCTAGGCCAGGAAGCACAGCACTACCCCCTTCCTAGGGAGCACCTCCAGCAGGACAACGCAACCCTGGCCCCCCCGTGAGGAGGCGCTGGCCAGGCATCATAGCCCCGGGCACTCCAGGGAGCCACCACCACCAGAGAAGCACTGTCCTCGGTGCCTTGTGAGCTCCAACAATGCTTTTTCCTGTTTTACTATCTGCATGACCACATGTCAATTTAAGAAATGGACGGGAAATAATCTGCATTCCACAGCCATTACTATAACAACTGATTGTGCAATGGTCCCATTGCTCATTAGTTATTGATTTTTTTTTCCTGTTTGCTAACTTGGGAGTTGAGAAACAATGGCTAAAATGGATAAACAGAAGAAATGTAGGAAGGCTGGGCAGCAACTGGGAGAAAGTTGTAGGAGAAGGAAAAGATGACTGAAAACCTGGCTTTGTCTTCAGTTGGAACAAGTCCGATAGTGTCCTAAATCAGTCATGTTGCTCGTTTTGCAATGAATAGTGTCACATTTTCCTCTAGAAGAAATGTTTGAAACAAGGGTGCTTGTAACTAGAGAAGACCGCTGACATATTTCCTGCACAGAGCTTCAGCAACCAAATTTGCCCTTTTAATATTAATCACTTCCATATCACAGTCTTGGAGCACCAAGCTCCCTCTAAGCAGGGGGCCAACAAAATTGCCAGGGGGGATTCCCAACTCTGTGCTCTCAGAAGGGGTGGGTCCCCAAGGGAAAGGGCCAGAGCCAGTGTTTCCTTTAACATGAGTGCTTGGATGGCCACTCAGGAAAGATTCAGGTGCCACCCAACTGATTAGCAGACTGACCACAGCTGGCACCATTGGTTTCATCACATGCCTCAGTGCACATCATAACATTATTCCACACATAGATGGAAAAAATTAGAGGGAACATTGGGTGCAGTAGAGCTGGTGACCAGGAGCCCCAGGTCCTTTTGAATCACCAGGTCCCAGGGCAGTTGGTCCCTTAACTCCCCCCACCGTTTTGGCTGGCCTGCCTCTTAGGAACTTGGCACTTGTGCCTTTCATTTGATGCAGCCAGATGAGTTACCTTGAGCAGGCCAGCAGGTGGAACTAATGACTTGCAAAAGTCTTTTCAATGTTTGGCATTTTCCTTTGTCCCAAACCATGACAAAAAAGGGAAAAATGTTTTCAAAACTTTTAACAAGATCAAAATGCTGGGAAATCTTTGTTTTGGAATCATTCTGAAGACTTCTGACACATTTCAAGTCAAAATTATTACTTGTGAATTGTTTTATTTTAGCATCTAAGAACCCTAGTCACAGGTCCTGAGCCTCATGTGTTTCAGCATGCCCATGCCTGCCATCTGGAGTTACAACCGAGATTGACTCTACGGTTGGCAAATAGCACTGGTATTGACCCCAGAATCCAGGGGGTATATTTACTGCCCCGGAGCCAAGTCAACATAGTAGCTTGGAAGAAAGAATTATATTTCAGTAAAATCCAGTCACATTCTAACCGGGTAATTAAGGGTCTAAATGTCAAATGCTGACTCCCATGTTATGCACTTAGATCCAGCTTTGCAAATACAGCAGTATAAACACGCAAATTGTGCAATCCCCCTTCCCCCCCATCACCACAAGTTGCAGTTCAAAAATCAGGTTTGCACATGCATGCGCTGACTTGTGTGTGCATTTTGGGTGTGGATAAATTCCTGCCCATGAAAAATGTACTTGAAGATACTTGCACTGGGTGGGCATCTAAGCATCTAAGTATGCATGCATGTGCCTTACTTGAGGTAACCAAGTGTGATAATTGTATTGAGCAAAGGAAAGTGCTTTGGATTGTAAAACAGCTATTTGGAGAGTTTCTGAACTATTGTTGAACATCTCTGGATGCTCCATTACTCTCAGTCTGAAGAGGGAAAAGGTAAGGCTGGGCAGGGGAGCCAACAGCCTCACCCAACAGCCTCACCGGGCCCCTGCAGTTTGGGACGGGGGATATTCATCCTCGACATAAAAAGGGGTTTCACAAATGGGAAAAGACATGAACGGTTCTTCCAACTCTGCTTTAAGATGCACATCCAACATCACTTATGGCAATGTCCAGGAATTGCTCTGTGTCCCAGTCACTCAAACAGCCAGCATTACAAATATCCTTTTATTTAAAAAATAAAATACCCCTTCCCCCAACACACACACACCACTAATGTGGGATTATCTGCTTGGGCAAAAAAAGAGAAAAGTCTGGATTCCCCAAAACTTTAAAAAATATCACAAATTGTGAGATGTTTCTCCAAAATGAAAGTAAGTCAAATCCTCAGCTGGTGTAAATCAACCTTGCTTCATGAAGCAATGCCCATTTACATCTGGAGAAGATCTGGCCCTAAGTCTTTAGTTATACTGCACCTTCTGCCTTGGCCTCTGACCAGGACTTTCTTATCACCAGCTTCTAGACCCTGCAATATCATTCTGGTTCTAGTTCCTGCAACATTGGTCTCGTAGTATTTATTATCTGTACTACAGTGGCGTGTGGAAGCCCCAGCTAAGCTCACTCGCCCACTGCACAAATAGATGCATGCATCCCTGTCAGGAGGAATTTACAATCAAAGGAAGACAAGATGTGACAAGAGAGCGAAACAATTGGGAAGAAAGCAGAGGTGGAGGGCTCAGCTTCAGTGTTCCCTCTAATCTTTTCACTCCAAGTGTGGATTTTTTCCATCTGCGTGCAGAATAAATGTTGTTGTGTGCACCATACCATGTTTGAATGTGCACCACCAGGAAAAACACAAACCTAACTGTGGGCTCTCTGCTAATCAACTAGGTGGCATTAGAATCTCTCTTGGGCAGCTGCACATGCGCCCAGCTTACTGGGAAAATTGCTCAACATGTCTTTGCAGAGGTGATAGTCCAAGCTAGCTGGTTGTCAGCTGGTGCGTTTCTTTGTCCAATGCTGGCCAGATGCTAAAGTGAATCAAAGGTGCGTTCATGGAGCCCTAGATCCTTACACCAGCTAAAAACATGCCCCATTCCTTTATGCCACAAATGTGTCAGCATTAACGGGTGTTGCGAGCAAGACACAAGAAGTCATTCGTGCACTCTCCCCTGTCCTGATTAGGCCTCCACTGGAGTACAGCATCCAGTTCTGAGCACCACATTTCAAAAAACATATTGAGAAATTGGAGAGGGTCCAGAGAAGAGGAACAAGAATGATTAAAAGTTTAGAAAACAAGCGCTGTGAGGGAAGACTGAAAGAACTGGGTTTGTTCCGTTTGGAAAAGACAAGACTGAGGGGACATGATAGCGGTTTTCAAGTTCAGGTAATCCCCAACTTACAAACAAGTTATGTACCAAGCACTTGGTCGTAACTTGATCCGTTCGTAAGTCGGATCCTATTTATTTACGTGTGTCCGCGCTGTTCGTAAGTGCGGATCACGTTTGTAACTCAGGGACGTGCTTAATGGGAGGTGGGTTGTAAGGACGAACGGTCGTAAATCGATGATTCATAACCCGGGGACTACCTTTACCTAAAAGGGTGTCACCAGGAGGAAGAAAAATTATTCTCCTTAAACTTTGATGATAGGACAAGATGCAATGGGCTTAAGCTGCAGCAAGGGAGGTTTAGGTTGGACATTAGGAAAAACTTCCTGCTGTCAGAGTGGTGAAACACTGGAAAAAGTTGTCCAGGGAGGTTGTGGAATCTCCATCCCTGGAGATATTTAAGAGCAGATAGATGGTGCTTGGTCCTGCCCTAGGGCAGAGGCTGGACTTGATGACCTCTGGAGGTCCCGTCTAAGGCTGCAGCGGTCAGTCCCGGCTGGGAGGAGGCTGGGAGCTCTGGTCACGCTCCTTCACACCTCCCTGCTCCCCGGAAAGGTGCCGGGCTCATCCCCCCTCCCGGAAGCTCCCTGGCAAGGGGAGCGGGTGGCACGGGGGTGGCACAGCAGGGGGCTCACTCACATGGCCCCTGCTCCCCGGAAAGGTGCCGGGCTCATCCCCCCTCCCGGAAGCTCCCTGGCAAGGGGAGCGGGTGGCACGGGGGTGGCACAGCAGGGGGCTCACTCACATGGGCATCGTGGACCAGTTCCTGCAGCCGCTCCTGCTCCTCCGCCCCATGGCGGGGGTGGGGGC